GTTAATATTGTTACTTAAAATCCAGTAATTATGTTTTTCATTTCTGTAATTTATATTTGGCTGTTTTAAAATGTTAAGTCATTTTGGATATAGTTTTTTGTCCATAAGTAAATATTTTCTATTATTTTTCTGTCTTATGTTCAGCAATGCTAATATCTGAAGTTTTAGGGAAGGATAGTTCTGTTGACTTTTACTCATGGTGACTTGTACCTTGAGTAAGTGATTTCTGATCATTTTGAATTTAGACTTATATCTTTGGAAATTTCGTTAGCGTGCCATTGCATGCATCTCAAGTGAGCAGTGAAGACGGGCACATGCCAAAAGCTGCTGTGACTCTCATACCACCTGACATCATTTCCTCTTTCCATTAAAAAATATTTAGGAAAAAGAGTGCTTCTAAGAATTTCTCCTGCCAGGTGCAATGGCACACATCTGTAATCCTAGCACCCAGGGAGGCAGAGACAGGCAGATCTCTGAGTTCAAGGCCAACCTGGTCTACCAAGAGAGTTCAGGACAACCAAAGCTACACAGAGAAACCCTGTCTCGGGGGAAGAGAGAGAAAGAGAGAATGAATTTCTCTTTTTGTTACTTCAAATTGTATTTGAGACCGTATTCAAGTATTAGGATTAATGTCTTCTAGAAAGAAAACTTAGAGAAACTGTCTGCTGTGTTTTTATAAATACAGAGAGATGGGTTCATTGTTTTCTGGGTTAGCACATAAAATCAGTCTATTGGTGTGGAATGAGAGATATTTCTCAGTGGTGCCGGCCTGCTTTTCTTAGCTGCCCTGTCTGAGAAGCGGGGCTGCGCAGACGTGTGCACACCCTGTGAGTGGTGTTCAGCATCTTCTCTTCCGTCCCTGCTCCACAGTTTTGTCCTCTCTGTCTAGTCTTGGCATTGTCTCCCCACTGCTGCACCAGCTTGCTTGACGACTTGTCTCTCCGGAGGTTAGGGCACAGATGAGAATGGGATGTATGTGTTGAGTCTTTTTTTAATGTCCTTTCTTGTTTTGCTATCAAGGTAATGCTGAATTCATAGAATGTTCCCTTCTGGTCTCTTTTCTTCATTAAAGACTAAGAATAGTAAAAAGTACATGTTTTCTTGCTATTTATATCTATTGGGTCTTCTTCACGAAAACTGAGTTTTTTTCTAGTATTCATATGCTGAGTAATTTGGGTTATATTTTGGACACTTTGTTTTCAATTTTTTAAAACTTTCAGTGGGGCTGGAAAAATGGCTCAGCAATTAAGAGCATTGGATGCTCTTCTAGAGGACCCAGGCTTAATTCCTAGTACCCACATAGTAGCTCACAACAATTTGTAACTTTAGTTCCAGGGGATCAGATGCCCTCTTCCGGCTTCTGAAGCAGGCACCAAGAACATACATATTGCATAGTCATACTTGCAGACAAAACACACAGACACAAAATAAAAATGAGTAATAAAATCTTTAAAAATTTTAAAGTATTTTGTTTGTTACTGTTTGTGTGTGTGTGTGTGTGTGTGTGTGTGTGTGTATTTGTACATGCATGCCCAATCTACATAGAGAGTTCAGGCCAGGTAGATTTTCATAGTGAAACTCTGTCTCAAAAACAACAACAAAAAAGGAGAGGCTGGAGAGACGGCTTAGCAGTTAAAAGCATTGTTTGCCCTTCCAAAGACTTGAGTTCAATTCCCAGCACCCACACCGAGGCTCATAACTGTCTTTTAACTCCATTTCATCTGAATTTGATAGCCTGGCCTCTGCCACTATCAGACACACACACGATGCACAAATATATATGTGTAGGCAAAACACCCATACACATAGTATAATTTTTTAAAAAAGAAAAAGAGTCATGGTCCCATGGGCTTCCTGGGAGATGGACCCAGGAGCTCCATGAACTCATGAATAGCTTCAAGATGTGATTTCTGATTTCTTGGGGCTGTTCTTCTTCTTCTTTTTTTTTTTTTTTTTTTTTTTTTTTTTTTTTTTTTGTTCCCCCAACCAGAGACTGAGACTGTTTTCCTGTTACTGGGGCCAGAATTTGGAGGAGAAGAGAAATGAGGCAAGACTCGTCTCTTGCCGGGGCTCCCATCAGAGTGAAGGCTCTGTTCTCTGTAAATGCAGGGCTCCACCCGCCTCTTTCTACCACTTAGGGCTGGCTGGTGGCTGGCTCTAAGAGGATGGGAAAAGGGAGAGGGCTGGATACAAACATTCCAGACATTTTTACATTTAGCATAATTAAAAGATGAACAGAACTGAGGCAGATATGTTAAGATCAGGTCAGGTGACAGAATAAGCACATTCCATGCTTGTTCATTTGTGTTATTTTTAATGTTCCAGTCTTAGGAAGCACAGCCAGCTCTATACAAGCATACTGTTTACTTTGACTTCTAGTATGAAGTAGAACGAGCTTTTGAGCCAGACATTCAGAAGCTTGCTGGGACCTGTTTAGAAATAAACCCTGAGGCTATCTTGTATCAGTAAATTGTACGGTGTCTGCAAGAGGCCAGAAAACAAAATGAAACCAAAAAAAAAATCCCAAAACCTTACAGGGCTAGACACAGAACATGCAGTTGACCATGGCACATCTTTTGTGAGAGATGAACTGTAACTTTAAAGTCATGAGATTTCTAGCCTGGATAGCTTAAGTATAGAAAGTACTCACAGCTGGGAGCAGGGCATGTGACTTTCAGAGCCTTTACAAAAGAGAGGGTGCCTAAGCCTGGAGCTTTAAGAGAAGACAAGGCTTGGTTGCCATTGATTTGTCAGGGTAGGGTGCTTCTCAGTCATCAGGAAAGGCTTTGACAGTCAGAGGTGACCACTTTACAGCCTTGTTACAGGCAAATTGCGATGTAAAGACTGGAACAAACATCCTAGTGAAATACCTAACCAGAGAAGTTAGGAAGTATGGGTGGCTAATAAACAGGTGTGTGTCTGTGTGTATGTGTGTTTCCTTGGTAATGAAAATATAAAATATCAGATCAACATATTTGGTACAATGATGTGATAAAGATTAAACCAGCCCTTTTTTGAAGTAATAGTAGTAATAGTGTGTATTAATAATCAAGTAATTAGGAAAACTTTGTACACTTTAATTAAGTTTAAATAATTAATTTTTAAAAATTAGTTTCTGTGAAAGAATTGAAAATCCAGAAAGAAAAATATATACCAGGGCATTAATAGAAATAGTAATTGGCTGAGGAGAGAGAAATATCAAATGTATGCAGATGTAAATAATACAGATTGCATATGTAGGGAAAGGTTAAATTGTAGGTTCATACCTGTGAGTAGACTATTACTTACAAATACTCTAAAGGTGCTTGGTGCGACCTGTGACAGTGTCTATAATAAGATGGAGGCTCGCTGGCAATTGTTATATATCCCTGTGACGCCCGGGTCGAGGAAGGAGGGTTGTGAATCTGTGGTCGTTCTAGGCTAGATAGTCAGATCCAGCCCCCTTCCTAAGCCAGATTGTTTTGTTTTGTTTTGTTTTGAGCATAAAAAGCATAAATACTAAGCTGTATACTGCTTGGTTTGAATTTTGTTAAAAGGCTTTTACACATGCCGACACTTGTAGATAAAAATTGTGTGAAAAGAAGCTTTCTTTCGGGCTGGAGAGATGGTTCAGTGGTTAAGAGCACTGGCTAGTCTTCCGGAGGTCTCAAGTTCAGTTCCCAGCGCCCACATGGTGGCTAGTGATGATCTATAATGTGATCTGATGCCTTCTTCTGGCATGCAGGTGTACCTGCAGATAGGAGCACTCATATACATAAAATAACTAAGTAAATGTTTAAAAAACTTTTCTTTTAGTATTTTCATGTTTTCTAAATTCTTTGATTCTTTGAATTTCTTAGTATTTGTCGCTTGCTTTTTTTTTTTTTTTTTATTCCTGAAGTACTAGAAATTGAACCCAGGACTCCCCTGCCTGTTAGACAAGGACTCTACAATGACTTATAAACCAGCATAATTTGGGTCAGAAATTTTAAAGAATTTCAAGAATGTGTATGAGCAGGAATTTTTAAACAGCTTTATTGATGCTTTATAACTAATGTGTATGTTTGCGTGTCTGTGTAGGTGCCAGCATATGAGTACAGGTGCCTGTGGAGGCCAGAAGTTTCAGATCTCCCAGGTTTCAGATTTGTCCAGTGTGGGTACTGGAAACCTAATCTGGGCTCTCAAGAAGAGCAGTAAATGCTCTTAACCACTGAGCCATCTTTCCAGCCCCTTTATTGCTCTTTTTTGTCCATCTTTTTTCTTTCCATTTATGGGCTAGAGTAAATAATAGAAATTATCTTTTTTGTGAATGCCAACTGTTGTCTTTTGTTTATTTTAGGAAAGAATTTTTAAAAATATGTTAGCTGTTTCTAAATGTGTATTATATATATACATATATACGTCTTTATGATGTTTATGTTTGAGACTCAGACTAGTACCCAAGGTTTCAGTACAACTATTCACTGATCCCAAAGCTTCATTGGCTCTTTCATTTAAAAGTAGAACATGTAGCGATGGCTCAGAGGTTAAAATGACTGGCTGCTTTTCCAAAGGTTCAGTTCCCAGCAACCGCTGGTGGTGCATAACCATCTATAATGAGATCTGGTGCCCTCTTCTGGTATGCAGGTGTACATGCAGACAGAACGTTGTGTACTTAATAAATAAAAGTAGAACGTGGAAGCTGGTCAGTGGTGTCACATGCCTTTAATCCCAGTATTCAGGAGGTAGAGGCAGATCTCTCTGAGTTGGAGGACAGCCAGGACTACACAGAGAAATCCTGTCTCAAAAACAAAATAAAACAAAAACAATCAGATTAACAAAAAATAGAACATGACACGGGATAGAATCCAGTAATAGAGCAACTACCAGCATCTGTAAGGCCATGGTTCGATCCCAGGCACTTCAAAGAGGGGAAAGTGGAACATTAGCGTAGGCCCTGTTTCTGATGTTAAGAGCTTCCTTGTTTATTTAGGAGGAATCTGTGGAATCTGCTGGTTATATTTGAACTGTCTCTTTTCTAGGTCATTCATGCCTGGCTTATTGTTTCATCTCTATTGTTGCTGTTCTTTTTTTCATTCATTTACTTGGGGTAAGTAAAACAGTTTTTTTGGTCTCTTTTCATTAACTCTGGCACCCATCACTGCCCTTAGAGCCATGTATCTTGTTGACAAATTATTCTTTAAGTAGTCATTTTTCCATATACTATGTCTTGACTGTATATAAAAGATGAGTTAGTACTGATAGGGGTATTGTCTTTTATTTAATTTATTATTATTTGTATGTATATGAATACAGTCACCCATAGGAAGGTCAGAGGACAACTTTTAGCAGTCTGTTTTCTCCTTCCACCCTGGGTTCGTGGATCAAATTCAGGTAGTCAAGCTTGCCAGGCAACTGCATTTGCCCATTGAGTCATCATACTGGCCAAGTAGAGAAGTTATATACATACATACATACATACATACATACATACATACATACATACACGCACACGTACATATATGTGTGGATATATACAAGTATGTATGTAAGTACACCGATTCATTTTATAAGGCTGGGACCACCTGCCACAGTATACATGTGGTAGTCCAGAGGACAACTTGGGGGTGTCGTTTCTTGCTTTCCACCACACGGATCCTGGGAATAGAATCCCAGCCATTAGTCTTCATGGCAAGCATCTGTATGCACGGAGTTATCCCAGCAGCCCAGCAGCAGGGATTCTTTGTTTCTTGTTTGCAATAAGTAGAAGTGTAAGGATTCATGGCTGGGGCTGTAGAGATGGCTCAGCACTGGCTGTTCTGGAGAGGACCTGGGCTTGGTCCCCAGCATCCACATCTCACAGTCATCTGTAACCCAGTTCAGGGGGATCCTCTTGTCTTCTTCCAGCTTCCTCGGGCACCAGCTCCACATACCATACATACATGCAGACAAAAAAATTCATACACATAAATAAATTTTGAACAATTAAAAAGAAAAAGGCTGTGATAGAACTATGTGTAATACTATCATTTGTATCTAATAAGAATGCATATGTTTGTGGGGCTGGGGATGTAGCTCAGTTTGTGTACATAAAGCCATGGGTTCCATCCGCAGCATTACATAAACCTGGCATACAGGCAGGAGGATCAGAAGTTCAAGGTCTTCTTTTGTTGCTGATTGAGGGCAAGCCCATCTTTCAACCCTGTGTAGGGGGCAGGGAGTATGTATCAGATAGACTCCATGGAAGGATAACATAAAGTGGATAATACAGTATTGTTTTCCCTGGAGAGAACAACTATGGGGCAGAAAGGAGGGAAACTTGTTACATATCTTTATATGAATCTATGCATACTTGCTTAAACTATTGAGGATAGTTTCATTTTAGGATACCTGAAACGCTTAGTGTAATATACATTGCCACCTCATTCAGAAATTTTAACATTTTGCTTTATTTTGTAATTTAAAAATAGAAAAATTGTCTTCCTGGATAGTCCCCATGGTCCACAGTTTGTGCTTAAATATATTCTTTGTCTTTATCTGCTTAGGATGTCATTCATAGTTAACAATCTCTTAGATGATAGATTTTGTTTTCCAGAAGTTAAAATAGTAGGGTTTTGTTGTTGTTGTTTTATGTAAAAAATTTAAGCAGGATCTGGGGAGGTGGCTTAGGCATCAGTGTTTGCATGAGGGCCTGAGTTTGGATACCCAAACCCCACACAGAAGCTGGGTGCAGTGGCAAGCTCCTATAAACCCCAGCAATGGGTCCCAGAAACTTACTGGCCAGGCAAGCTAGCCAAAGCAACAAGCATCAAATCTATTGAGAGATGTTGTCTCAAACAATAAGGCAAGTGTCACCTTGAGATCTCTACGTGTGCCTTTATAGGCAGGCTCACCCACAACAGCACACACTGAATGCTAAGCAGTGGGCTAGGAGTGTAAGTCCATGGTGGACACGTGCTCACTGTGCACGAGGCCTTGTGTGCCATCTCAGCAACACATAGACACTCTAATTTTTAAGCTGAGAGTGGTAGCCTGTGTCCTTTAATCCCAGCACTCGGGAGGCAAAGGCTCCCTGATCTCTGTCTCCAAAAGAAACAAAAACAAAAGCCTAAGTCCTGTCATTCTTTTAGGGATTAATAGATAAATCTCCAGTTCCCTTCTTAGACACTGTTCTCATCTGTGAGGATTGTGTTTGTTTCTGTAGCAACAGCACATCAAACTATATTCTCTCTCTCTCTCTCTCTCTCTCTGTGTGTGTGTGTGTGTGTGTGTGTAAAATTTGTGTTTCATAATGGATGATACCTTAAATTTCATTATGAGAATAGCATCAGCTGGTTGGTGGTGGCTCACACCTTTAATCCCAGCACTCAGGGAGGCAGAGGCAGGTAGATCACTGTGAGTTCGAGGCTAGATTGGTCTGCAAAGCAAGTTCCAGAATAACTAAGACTACACAGAAAAACCCTATCTCAAAAAATAAAAAACAAAAACAAATTAGTACATTTTTTTTCTAGTTTCAGATACCTTAGGATTTCTTAAAATACAGTATGGTATTGTAGGTGATATGATTTACTTTTTTTAGTTTTGTTTTTATTTTTACAGCTATGACCTATGATACTATTTTTTTCATTAATGCGAATAATGTAGTACCTGTTAAAATAAGTTCTATTTGAAGAAAATGATTTTTAAGAAAAAGATGTTACAGCATAGGCCATAGTAAAAACAAATATGGGATTTGAATATTTAATATTTCAGAATCTTAGTGTCAAGCAATGTCTTCATGAAATTTGTTGCACAGAAGTCACGTCAGATCCTTGTTTGGTTTTCCTCAGGGAAGTATTTAAGACCTACAATGTTGCTGTGGACTACATTACAGTTGCACTCCTGATCTGGAATTTCGGTGTGGTGGGGATGATTGCCATTCACTGGAAAGGCCCCCTTCGACTGCAGCAGGCGTATCTCATTATGATCAGTGCTCTCATGGCCCTGGTATTTATCAAGTACCTCCCTGAGTGGACCGCATGGCTCATCTTGGCTGTGATTTCAGTATATGGTAAAACTCAAGACTGACACTTTGTTCATCACAGAAATCCTCACTGGTGTGTTCTCCTTCCTCTTCTAGTTCTCTTGACTTAAGGAAACTCTTAATTATGGGTTATTTCCCATAGCTCTCCAGGGCTTTTTCCTCTTACAGTGCTAAGGATTGTACCTGGAACTAGTTGGTGCTAGGCAAGTGCTGTGCGTGTGCCCCATCTTTAGCCCTAGGAGTGAGGACTTGTAAAATGTTTATTACAGCTTCCAGTTTAAGTCTGAGCTGGGTTGATGGGAGGAGCCATAGTTTTGCTGATCAGAAGACTTGGATTCAAAACTCCTCTTAGCATGTGCGGCCCTGGCTTTAGTCCCCAGACCACAGTGAACAAAAGCAAAATAATGTCTATACCAGTGGTTTTCTTAAGCTTTGATTTCCTTGTAGGGTGGGAACAAGTCTCTGGGATTGTAAGAGTTCAGTGAATTAAGTAGAAACTGAGAAGTGCTAGCGGAATGCCTAACACATGTAAATGTTCAGGTCGTTTTTCAATTTTATTATTTTGGGGGTGAAGAGCATGTGTCCTGCATGAGTTGTAGAGGTCAGATAACTCCTTCAGGAATTGGTGCTCTTCTCCCTTCATGTGGGTCCTGGGAACTGAATGACTCAGATTGGCAGGTGTGGTGGCAGGCACCTCACTGCCCAATTACTTTTTTTCTTTCAAATTTTTATTTGTTGTGTATGGGTGTTTTGCCTGTAAGTATGTCTGTCCACAACTTGCCTGCCTTGTTCTGCAGAGGCTAGAGGAAGCTATTGTATTTTCTGGAACTGGACTTGCATCCAGTTGTGAGCTGCCATGTGGGTCCTGGGAACTGAACCCAGGTCCTCTAGAAAGAAGAGCAGCCAGTGTTCCTTATAACTGAGCCACCTCTCAGCCCCTCCTCAATTCATTTTTTAAAATGTATTTAATTTTTATTTTATGTGCGTTAGTGTGAAGGTGTCAGATCCCTTGGAATTGGCATTACAGACAGTTGTGAGCTGCCATGTGGGTGCTGGGAATTGAACCTGGGTCCACTTGGAAGAGCAGATGGCGCTCTTAACCACTGAGCCATCTCTCTAGCTCCCTTCCTCATTTCATTTTTAAGATCAAAATCAACAAGCAACTTCAGTAGAATCATTCCTTTAAAGATTGACTGTGTCCTGATGTGGTGTGCACACTCGTGATCTCACACTTGGGAGGTAGAGGCAGGGGACCAGGAGTTTAGAATCATAGCTAACAAAGTAAGCCTGAGACCAGCCTGGGCCACTTTAAACCTTTTTCAAAAACAAAACAATTAAATAAGTAGTGAACTATTAAGGATAGTGATAGCCACTTGTAATCTCAACACTTGGGAGATGAAGGCAGGAGAATTAAAAATCAGCCCAGGCCATGTTTTGAGAGCCTGTCTGGAAGAAAAAAAGTTCTGAGGATGAGGTTTACATCTGCAAAATAAGCCCAACACCTGTTTATTTATTGTATGTGAAGTCAAGTTTACAGAAAGACCTGTGGATAGAGCCCACAACTGCATAAAAGTCCTCAATAAAAACCTGTCACTTCAGCCAAATGGTGATGGTGCACACATTTAATCCTAGCACTCAACAGGCAGAGGCAGGTGGGTATCTGAGAGTTCAAGGCCAGTTTGGTGTACAAAGGAAGTTCCAGGACACCCAGGGCTACCCAGAGAAACCCTGTCTCCAACAAAACAAAATTAAACTTAAAAAATTGTAAACGTACTTTTTAACAACTGCTGTGACACGGGTCCTGAAAAGTTGCAATAATACTGTAGCCATGAGTAACGGGACTGACGAGCTTTATCCTCCAGCTCTTGCCGTGAAAGCCAAAAAATCCTTGTCAGTAGCCAGCATTTTAAAGAGCATGTTCCTTCAGCACTGTTGAGATTCTGGAAGTCTGTGGTGACCCATAACCAGAAACTGTCATCTCCCTTTAATTGACGGAGAAAAGCCCGTGGAAATAAAACTGAACCAGTTCTGTTATATACTTGAGCAAATAGTCAGGGTTAGAAAAATCATACTCCGTGCCCCATCTTCATGGCAACTTCATATTATTGATGAGGTTTTATAAATCCACCATCTGTCTCTGCATAGCTGAGATTAGGAATGCCAGTTCTGGCCGTAGCTCCGCTGGTAAAGGCACTTAACCACCAAGCCTGACAACCTGAGACCCCAGAGCCACATGCTGGTGGGAGAGAGCCAGTCCCTGCACGCGCACACACCCGTGCGGGCAAGCACAGTGAATCATGTACTTTCAATTGCCGGCCCGGAGTGTCAGTGAGGTAGCTACCACAGGTTTTTTTGTTGCAAAGAGGCTTGAAGGTTAGAGAGGTAAATTACTTTCCTAGCACGTGTGACTTGGTGTGGAATCTGAATTCCAAGCCCATGTTATTCTCTCCATGACCCTCAGCCCTCTGCTCACCGCACAGGGGAGCCCTGTCCAGAGCCTCACGACTTCTCAGTAGAGAAGAGCTGTGCACCGTGTTTACACCGTGTCTCCACTCTGTCTTACAGTGTCTTAAGGTGTTTTGTCAGAAGTGTTCTGAAGCCTTTTAAGTAAATTAATTTTTATTCCTTTTAATTGCCCTAAAAATAACCGAATCTATTCATTGCAAGATTCTATAAAGGGAAACATGTCATAAAACCAAAATAGTTACAGGATGTGGGAGCTTTAAAGCAGCTGAAGATCTCATTAGTTGCAAGTACAGAAAATTTCCTTCTCTCACTTGAGCAAATGTAAATGGGGAGAGGAGACTTGCTGCTGCATAGTTCTTACTGTCCCACAGAGACATGACCGTTTGAGTGACGACGATGTCAGCTGTCAGTTTCCATTTACAGTTTAGCTGTGCCTGTTGGAGAGTTTTAAGTGTTGGAGGCTATTTTCTGGGATTCTATAGCACAGAAAATGTAAGAGAAATTGTAGCTCATGGAAAAAAAAAAATGGTGTCAGAATCAGACATAGTTTAGGCATATTGCTTCTTCTCTGAGCTGCTGTTTTGTAAAATATGTCTGTTTTTAGTGCCACGTATGTCCTGAGACCTAATTATGTGTGAAGTACTTTATTTGACTGAAAACAGGAAATATGAACTTTGTCATGCACAGAGCAACTGTTGTATTTATGCAAGTTTCTTAACAATGCGTGCCTGCTTTGTGGTGCTGGGGACTGAGCACGGCCCCGCACGCTGCACCCCGGTTCTGCATTATCGGTAAAGAAAGGGTGCTCTCCTCCACTCTACTTTGATATTTTGAAATTTTTGACATTTTGAATAAAGTGTTTATTTGTAATTTATGGGTGAAAATTTTAAAAATAATTCCCTCCCATTTCTGCTTGTCACACATTGAGACCTGTTCTAGAATAGTTGTCTTGCTGTCTCTCTGCCTCTTTCCTTCAAACTGAGAAGACTGGTGTCTAGACCCAAGTAATCACACAGTAGACTGAGCACACAGCAGTGAGGCCAAAGTGTAATTTGCACAGGTCTTTTATGTCTGTTTAGGTTGCTTTTCTCTTACTTGCTTAACTGCAAGTATTTTCATATTTACCCAACATATTTTTGCAAAAATATATTAAATGCCTGTCTCCTTAGTTAAGTCCTCCCTGCATATATTCATTAACACATTTTAGTCAGCCTATTTTATTGGGTGTCTTTCTTTTTCTTTTTCTAGATTTGGTGGCTGTTTTATGCCCCAAAGGTCCACTTCGTATGCTGGTTGAAACAGCTCAGGAAAGAAATGAGACTCTCTTTCCAGCTCTTATCTATTCCTGTAAGTATGCTAGAATGCTGTTTTAGTGCGTTCAGTTTTAAGGTCAGAAATCAGAAGAGAGCATTGAATCCCTGGAACTGGATTTATAGATGGTTATGAGCCACCAGGTGGGTGCTGGGAACCAAACCTGGGTCCTCTACAAGAGCAGCCAGTACATTCATGATTCTTAACCCCTAAACCATCTTTCCAACTCCAGTGCCTTGTGTTTTATAGTTGTTTTTTTAACCTGCAATCTTTTAACGTTGTAATCCTCATTTACTTCTTATTGCTTAACCCTTGAGACGACCTCACGAAGACTGTGGTTTCTGTAGAGAAATAATGGCCTCTTGCTTGCTAGGGCTTTGAGTATTCACCTGCAGGTTCTTCTTTCTCAACAGCAACAATGGTGTGGTTGGTGAATATGGCTGAAGGAGACCCAGAAGCCCAAAGAAGGGTACCCAACAACCCCAAATATAACACACAAAGTAGGTGACACTCGTTTGTAAATGCCCTAGTTTTATGGGTTCGTTGTCATTTGTCGATAAGTAGTTGAAGTTATGAGGTGGTAATTTCAACCTTCTCTTTGGTCACACTCCCCTGCTGGAGCTCAGGCCAGAGGACTTGGCTGTCATTTGAGAAGCCATGTATGTAGGGGGACATGTGACAATGAAGGCTGTCATAGATAATCTCACAGAGAACCTGGCCATCCCCAGTAAATGTACATAGCACTATTCCAGGAACTGAAACTCTCCAAGCCACCAGTCTGCACTGAGTTAAGATGCTGCCATTAAGATGTATATATTTTTAAAGATATACTTTTAAAAATGAATCTGGGAACAGTGACACGTGACTGTAATTCCAGCACTCGGGCCCAACCAGAGACAGGCAGATCTCTCTGAGTTCAAGGCTAGTCTTGTGTATAGAGTGAGTCTAGGACAGCCAAGGCTACATAGAGAGACCCTGTCTCAAAAAAATAAAAACCAAAACAAAACAAAACAAAAAATGATGCTGTCTTCCTCTCCCCCATTTTCCAAATATATAAAAATGAGAACCTCAGAATGTCTGTAATCTCAGTGCTCTGGAGGTGGAGTCAAAAGGATTGTGAGCTGAAGGTGAGGCTTAACTGTGTAGGGTAATCCTGTTACCAAAAGGAGTGGGCGTCAGGGTGCATGGGGGTCTCTTGTCCAGCAGTACTGAGAACATTTGATGGGAGGTGTGGCAATGCTTACACTAAGAGGTCAGTGTCCAGTGGACTGTGGCTACTACAGAAGACTCTAAGAAAAACAACAGTCAGAAGCTATGCCAGAAAGGGCTGAAGAACAGTGTGCTGTAAAAGGAAAGCAGAAAGGAATTGTCTTAAAAAGACAAACCTTAGAAAGCTGAAAAAGAAAAAAGCATTAAAATTCAGAAGAGAACAGTGGGCCTTGTTTGCATTGCTGTTTGGGTTACAGAGCCAAGAGACCTGCATCTGGGAAGGGGCAAGAAGATACATGGTGCTGGGAACGCAGATCTGTGTCTTAAAGCTGGCAGGCGCCTCAGTTCTGCAGAGCATGAGGCAGCAGAACAAAGTGGCACTTGACCTGTGACAGACCAAAGACAGGAGAAGGTTGATACAAGCCTGATTTAAAATAAAATATTTATTTTATACACACACATACAAACAAATGCATACGATTTTAATTTTACCTATATATAATTTTCATGTGTTTTGAGTGTTTTGCTGCCTGCATGTGTGTGCACACGCAAAGCTGGTACCTGCAGAGATCAGCAGAGGGCATCAGATTTCATGGATCTATGGATGATTGTCAGCCACCATGTGGGTGCTAGGAACCAAACCCAAGTCCTTGGCAGAGCCATCTCTCCAGCCCCAAGTCTGGGTATCATATTAAGCTAAAAAAAAAAAAAAAAGTTGTGACTCTGTCTTAGTCAGGGTCACTATTGCTGTGAGAAAAACACCATGACCTAAGAAACTTGGGGAGGAAAGGGTTTACTCAGCTTACTCTTTAACAGCACTGTCCATCACTGAAGGAAGTCAGGACAGGAACTCAAGCAGGGCAGGAACCTGGAGGCAGGAGCTGAGCCGAGGCCATGGAGGGGTGCTGCTTACTGGCTTGCTCCCCCTGCTTTTTATTACAGCTCAGGGTTTGTCCCCACCCACAATGGACTGGGCTTTCCCCATCAATCACTAATTAAGAAAATACCCACTAGGCTTGCCTCCAGCTCCAGCTTGATCATATGGAGACATTTTCTCAGTTGAGGTTCCCTCCTCTCTGATGTTTCTAGCTTGTGTCAAGTTGACATAGAACTAGGCAGCACACTGTATGTCTTATGAGTGTGAGTGTATTTTGGTATGTGAGGAGTTTCTTTCAACAACTGCTGACTGATCACTAGGCGTGCCCAGTGCTCTGGGGATAGAGCACTGAACAAGACGTTTCCTGATGGTTCACAGGGCACAGGTTCGTTACCATTTCCTGCTCTGCCACCTTTGACATACTGGGTTGTCCACAGCTCCTTGTGGTCATGGTGGTTGCAGTGCTGGGCATTATATCTAGACTGCATGCAGGGAAGATTGAGGCCATGTCTTCTTTCCTTAAAAAGAGGAAGGAAAGGGGGAAATGTCAACACTTAGCACCAAGGCCTAGTTCCTCAGCTGTAGAACTTACATTGAGAAAAAGAGTAGAGGAATCTCTGTGTTTGCCCTAACTCTGCCCTCTAGAATATGGAAGAAATGACTCTAAGTGTTGGTGCTCTAACTGCTACCTTCTTTCTTACAGGAGCGGAAAGGGAGACACAGGACACTGATACTGGGACTGATGATGGTGGCTTCAGTGAGGAATGGGAAGCTCAAAGGGACAGTCACCTGGGGCCTCATCGCTCCACTCCTGAGTCAAGAGCTGCTGTCCAGGAACTTTCTGGCAGCATCTTGACTAGTGAAGACCCAGAGGAAAGTACGTGCAACCATCTCTGTCTGCAGTCATGGGTTTCTTTAAGCGGCTGTATCGTCATCTCTCAAGAGTACATTGAATTGTTCTGGGGAAATAGCTTATTCAAGTGTTTACCACACAAGTATGGGGGCCTGAGTTTAATCTCCAACACTCAAATAAGAAAGAAAGAAAGAAAGAAAGAAAGAAAGAAAGAAAGAAAGAAAGAAAGAAAGAAAGAAAGAAAGAAAGAAAGAAAGAAAGGAAAGAAAGAAAGATATTGGCACATTCTTATACACCTGTGACCCCAGCACTGGGGAGGTACATACAGACAAAAGAGAGAGGGGAAATGATCAAGAGCCTAAGGAGACAGTGCTGAACAGCACTGTAGCAGTTTGGGGGTGTCACTAACAGTTGAGTTTTTATAGCTAAGTTGCTAAATTTGTTAATTGCCAAGGTCTGGCCTTCAATATTTCTTTCTGTTTGTTTTTTTTTGGGGGGTGGGGTAGGGGGGTGTGTCTCACTATATAGCTCTGTCTGGCCTGCCTTTCCTTCCTGAGTTCTGGGATTAATGGTGCACCAGCACTCTGCCCTTCAAGGGTTTTTAGTTCTCTCTTGACCCCTGTTTTATGGCCGCTGACTGCCACTCTTGAACATTCGAGCATCCAGTGCCTGCGTGTTTATATCGGATTGTGATATGTGTCAGAGCAGACACAGTTACATACAACAGTCTGTGTACTCTAAATTTTGTTTCCAGAACTTTTCTTGTGGGGGGGTATGCATGTATATGTGTGCCTGTGCACTCACCCATGTGAGTATGAAGGCGGAGGTCAGTGTGAGGTGTCTTTCTCGCTGACCACCTTTTCTCTCTCTCTCACTGCGTCTTTGATCAGGTTTGTTTTTTTCAGATAGGCTGTCTCTGTTTGTTCTATGATGAAACAGGTTTCAGTACTTTCAGTACTTTATACGGCAGACCTCTCCTCAGCTGCTGATTTTTTGGTAACTGCAGCTTTTTTTTTTTTTTTTTTTGAGACAGTCCCTCACTGAATCAGGAGCTGGCTGGCTAGCATGCTCCTGGGATCCTTCTACCTCTCTCTCTCCTCCCCCGTCTACTCCTCCAGCGCTGGATTGCAGGTGTGCACTGTGCCCAGTGCTGGCATTACACATGTTGTGGTACATTTTTAACACTCTTACTTACATTTCTTTTCTCTTTTTCTCCCTTCTCCGCCCCAGTCCCTTCTAACACCAGGTAGGAGAGAGAAAGCGTTAGTGGAGAGGGACCACAGTTCTCTTAGCTGCTTCCTGCTGGTTAGGGTCATCAGGCTCCTTGGAGCCCGTCCAGTCCTCGTTTCAGAAGATCTCCAACTTCTTGTCTCACAACGGCAACCAGGAGCAGCAGAGGGGAAGCAGGAGCAGCCTTGTTCTTTCTCAGAGCTCACACTCTCTGGGCTCTGGCATTTGTTCTCTCTTAGAGTCCTCAGATTTAAAGTATCTGCAGCTGGCAAAGAACTCCTCTCAGAGCCCATGTGAGGCAGATAGTCTGCTGCTATGGGCTGTTTGAATCAGTCCACATCCCATACCTGGGACCAAAACAAAAATGTGCTTTATCCACAACATACACATGTGCACTATGTCCAGCTTCCAGGGGTATTGGAGATCCAGACTCAGGTCATACTTACTGCAAGCACTTACCCACTGAACTGTCTCCCCAGTCCCCAGACAACTTCCTAAAGGTCAGAATGTAATCCAGTCACTAAAGACATCATTTTATACGGATGTGTCATTTTATATGAAATGTCTCGAAAAGGCAAATTCATAGAAATAAAAAAACGAGGGAACAAAACCAAAAAGGTGATGACTTTAATCCCAGCATGTGGGAGGCAAAGGCAGATGGATCTCTGTTAGTTCCAGGCCAGCCAGAGCTACATAGTAAGACCCTGACTCCAAAAAAAGAAAAGAGGAAGAGGAGAAGGAAGAAGAAGGAAGGAGAGAAAGAGAGAGAGAGAGAGAGAAAGAAAGAAAGAAAGAGAAGGAAGGAAAGAAAGAAGGAGAGAGAAAAAGAAAGAAGAAAGAAAGAGAGGGAGGGAGGAAGGAAGGAAGAGAGAGAGAGAGAGAGAGAGAGAGAGAGAGAGAGAGGAGGCCTTGTGGTTACTTCCAGTTTGGGCAGGGCCAGTGGCACAGGGTGCCTTACTGGCATGGTTGGGTGTGGATTGTGATACCAATCATTCATTCTGAGCTTTACACAGTCACTGTGCCACACCCTTAGAGAGGATTTCACAAGTTAGACTCAGGCCACATGTGAGGTCCTGTAAGGAACTCTGTCCAGGTTCTGGGTGTGAGCTAGGTGTTGACAGAAGTCAGTCGTGTTGTTGCTAGGTAAGCTTACTGAGATGGGACAGTAGTGTCTGCTGAGACTCCAGAGTCAGAGTCTCAAATTCCTGGTGTAGACAACACAACATAAAGAAAAATATCTTTCTGAAGCCTAAACAGTATCATTTACTGAACAGTATCATTCAGTGTGGAACTGTGGTTTTGATTTGTTTGCTTTGGTGTTTGAGACTGAGTCTCACCATGTTGCCCACACAGGCCCTACACTCCTAGTCATCCACCTACTCAGCCTCCTGAGTAGCTCAGAATGTGGGTTCATGCCACCATGCCCTGCTTGGGGTCGTATATTTGAATTATGAAATCACAGCTGTCGGGTGTGGTAGCACACACTTGTAGTCCTAGGGCTTGAGTGGCTGAGTCAGGAGGTTCACAAGTCTGAGGCTAACCTGGGCTACATAACAAGCCCATGTTCGGGGGAGGAAAAAAGGGTAGGAAAGAATGACAGACTTCCTTACATCTTTAATGTTTCTTTTTTTAGGGGGAGTAAAGCTTGGATTAGGAGATTTCATTTTCTACAGTGTTCTTGTTGGTAAGGCTTCAGCAACCGCCAGTGGGGATTGGAACACAACCATAGCCTGCTTTGTAGCCATATTAATCGTAAGTATATGCTAACAACATAGGTCAAAACACTGAATTCTGCATACCTTTATGATCGTTTTCCTTCAATGTGTTTGTGTACATACACTGTGGCAGACGTGTGACAGAGAACAACTGGTTTTTCCTCCCACCTGAGGCAAGGTCTCTCTTGTATTTGCCACTGAGCTGTGCACTCCAAGCTAGCTTCCCATCTGTTCTCTGTCCACTTCCCATGTTTCATAGGGACACTAGGGTTGCAGGTGAGTGCTTTCACTACGGCCAGCTCTTTACAAGAGTTGCAGGGATCAGGCTGGGGTCATCAGGCTTGGGTGGCAAGCGCTTTTACCTGCCGAGCCATCTTTCAGCCATAACGATTTCCTTTTGACTCTAGGTAGGCTAAGAATTCCAATCCCTTGAGAAGCTTTTTTAAAATGGATAATTAGACCCTGCCTGAGTAGTTCTGCACTCTGGCCACACATTAAAATCGCCCATTGCTTCCAGCTAGCCATGTCTTGTCTGTGAAGAAGTGTGTTGCTGAGTCTGAACGAACAGGAGCATCATGCACTTGCTGTGTTCTCTTCCCACACTAGCTTTTGGTGTCAGTCCTGTGCTCATCTTTGTCCTACCCTGAGAGAGTGTACTTCATTAGTTCTCCAGCAAATTGTGGATATTGCTGATTAGAAACTACTTTGAGCCAAGTGGTGGTGCACGCCTCTAACCACAGCACTCAGGAGGCAGAGGCAGGTCCATCTCTGAGGTCAAGGCCAGCCTGCTCTATAGAGTGAGTTCTAGGACAGCCAGGGCAACACAGAGAAACCAAAAAAAAAAAAAGGAAAGGAAGAAATGAGTCCAGCAGCACAGGACTCAACAAGGACCCCTGGATCATGAATAGAGTCATATCGTGTTGAGTGGTTTTATATCTGCTGCACAGCCTGCAGCAGGGTTGATTTGTAACAGCAGGTTTGGAGTCCTGTGGCTTTCAAAACTGACTTAGAAAACTAGATGAATTGCCATACACCTTTTAATCCTGGGATCTGGAGGCAAAGTAGGCTGATCTCTGAATCCAAGGCCAGCCTGGTTAAATTCTAGGCTACCTAGTGAGATCCTTTCTCAAAAATAAAAATCTGACTTACTAATAACATATGAAATGTTCTTACTGCTTAGAGTTGGCATATACAGTTCAGTTGCTAGAGTGCTTGCCTAGCATATACAAAGCCTTGCATTCAATCCTCAACCACACAAAACAGGCATGGTGGCACAGCCTAGCCCAACAGAGCAAGGGCAGAAGAAGTTCAAGGTCATCCTTAGCTCTGTGGAGTATCTGAGGCTGGCCTGGGTTATAGAAGATGGTCTCAATAGAAAAAAAAAAAAATTTTTTTTTTTCCTATTTAATCCAGGCATCTATGCACACTTATATCCTGGCACTTAGGAGGCAGAGCAGGAGGATGTAGAGTTTGAGGCCAGTCTGGGCTGTGTGTATAAATGAAGAAGAGCAGAGACTGCGCTTTCATAGAGGATCACACTCAGCATGCACTGGGCCCTGGGTGTATCTACAGCATGGACTTCCTTGTCTCCTCTCATCCCTCCCATCTTCTCCTACCTCCCTTTGTCTTGAGCAAGCTTGACTGCCTCGTCCAGGCTGGGCTCAGATTCTAGGCTCGGGTAACCCTGCCTCAGCCTCCTGAGTAACTGGTATGTTGCCGTCAGGCCCAGTTGCAGAAGCTGTTGTTTTTTTTTTTTCCCATGACTCCAGAGTTCATGACATGTTATTGTAAAAGTTAAGCTCAAGCAGAGTGTTCAGTGACCGTGGTACATGTACTGTGTGAAGTGCCTCTGTCCTAAGTATGCCTCTGTCTTCACAGGGCCTGTGCCTTACGCTACTACTACTCGCCATTTTTAAGAAAGCATTGCCAGCTCTTCCCATCTCCATCACCTTTGGGCTTGTTTTCTACTTTGCCACGGATTATCTTGTGCAGCCCTTTATGGACCAACTTGCATTCCATCAGTTTTATATCTAGCATTTCTGCAGTTAGAACCCGTGGATGTTTCTTCTTTGATTATAAAAGGACCCTGAGGAGGATGCAGACGATTTTCCTGTGTCCTCAGCAACGTCAAGACTCCCGCTGGACCCTGGCAGCTTCCTTCCGAGCTTCCCTGGCCATCTGCACTGTTGGACTTCGAAAGGAAATGTCTGCCGAAAATGCTTTCCAACATTCACCATTGCTGTGGATGGTGTCCCTCAGTGCAGAAACTACCAGATTTGGGGGACAAGGACAAGGAAACGTGCTGGGCCAAGAAGTTGCTGTGCGCTGCCAGCAGTTTGACCCTTGGGCACGGAGACTTTACCAATGCTGGGAACTCTCAAGAGGTTAAATGAAGTGATGTGAACTAAACAGAACTGCCATCTTTCACACCATGTTGGAGATAATACATGTACTAGCTGAATCCTGGACTGTCCAGGAGTTTCCATGAAGAAGTAGCATTGGGCCCGGGCCTCGCCCTCAGGCTCTTTGCTGCCCACCTCTAAGTTTCAGTTAAGGACACCACCCTACTCAAACCCCCTCTCCTGTCACATCAGTGGCTTTGGCCATTTTTGTTCTCAAGCACTGACACTTATCATCTGTGGTTGCCATTTCTTCCCAAGGACAGTCCGGACAAATTTGGGGTTGCTTTATCCTGAGAGTTGTAACCTCAGGTTTCAAAGTCTATAATTTCTGGAAATGATGGAACTATTGCTCAAAAGTCCCCTGTCATCCTTAAGTAAATTCTGGATTTCCACGAAGTCCTCATTTTTAGACACACTTGAAAACTTGCTTTGCCCAGGATGCGTCCTCTCCCGTCTCTCCCTTGTCCCACAGCAGTTCTCTTTGATAGCAGACAAGGCAGCTCTGGGAGGTAGCTAGTGACCCTGATAACCCAGGGTCTTCCTCATATGATGCAAATAATATGTGTCAAATCAGTGCTGTCAGCCTTGCTGTCATAGCTCCTTGGATGGCAGATGGGATGTGTGCCCAAAGAATTAAAGCGGTAAGTGGCTGGTGACGCACTCTCTGTCCTGGTGTTTCTTTTGTCACTGCACTCCACTGTCAGGGTCAGAACTTAAAACTCGGAGCTGGAGTAGAGCCCAGTGGTAGAATGTTTGTCTAGCAAGGCCCTTGGTTCACTTCCCAGCACTGAAAAAACAAAAACAAAAACCACAGAATTTGGAGTTAATGTCCAGTGCTAATAGTTAGTTCTTGAACCAATTGTGTTGATACCAAAAAAAACAAAAAACAACAACAAAAAAAAAAAACTTAGAGAAAAACTGTTTCTTGCTTAGCTGTGGGAGAACCTGGTGTTAGGACTAAACCAGATGCCAAGGTGAAAGAGCAGGGGCCTACTGCAGCCTTGGGAACGGCTGAGCTAGGCGCACAGGCAGGTGTGGAGGACGAAGTGGCACTTTGTGGCTCCAGTCCGCCTCTTACCTCAGCACAATGCAGCATGTATGAAGTGGGCAGTGGCTGCACTGCTGAGCTTTGCCCCACACTGTGGGTCAGCTAGGCAGAGCACAGACAGAGCAGGACTGCCTGCCTGTGACAGCTGCCTCAGCCAGGAGATCAACTGAAAAAATGTGAGAAGCTGATTTGGCTCAAAAAAGGCCTGCTGGCTTTCTCCAGCCTATCCTATGAACCAGTCTGGGGTTCTCTTTAGAGTTTAGAAAACTTATTTTGGGTTATACAATCGTACTAGGGTGTGTGTGTGTTACTCTTGATCAAAGCTGGGGCTTTGGCCATGCTAGCAAGTGCTCCATGAGTGAGCTACTCCTCCCTGAGCTTGGGATGTTCTTAGTAAGAGTTTGACCTTAGGAGTTAGGTCTAGTGCTCCCCACAGTGGTGAGGTGGAGACAGGTGGGTCCCTGGCCCTGCTGGCCAGCCGACCCCACCTCACTGAGGTCTGGGCCAGTGAAACGCTCTGTGTCAAGGAGCAAGGTGGCCGGCTCCTGGGGAATGGTACCCGTGCAAAACAAACCAACTGAAAGAGCTGAAGTGTAGCCCTGTGCTAGAGCATGGTGCACTCAGCATTCTCAAGGCCCCGTAAAACATAGAAACCCAAGCAGGAAAATTAAGAGCCATGCAAGGGAAGAGAGAGGCTTGTGGTAGAAGGTTCTGTTGTTTTTATCATTGTGCATATGTGGAGTGGAGATGAGAGGACATTTCTGTGCTGTCAGGTTACCAGGTACGCTGTAAGGCAAGAACCCCGAACCTGCCCAGCATCTCACCAGCTCCTTTTTCCAGGACCTTTCTTCCCTCACCCAGGCTGGAAGTTTTGGTTCAAGGCACCTTTGCTGCTGTCAGCTAGAGCAGTTTGTGTAAGGGTCCCAAGTGTGTCCTGTTTCCTGACAAGAGAGTCTAGGCTGTGTTTGTATGCAGGTGTTTAAAGTCCAGGAGAGGGGTGGCCATGAGGCCACTGACCCCAACCCACTTGATGGAAAGACACCGGGAAGAAAGGTGGTAGCTTTAGGGCACAGGGCATTTATAAGCAGGGTGTCAGCTGCCACCGAGGGGCCTGGGTGTATAGGAGCTGGTGGGAGAGGAAGGGCTCTCCTTCCTGTTTTTGATCCTGCTGTGAAGAGGGGTCCTAGGGTTGCAGCTTTTACCATCAGTGACTAAATTTCTCCAGGGCTGGGGAGGTGTGGGGTGGAGCAAAGGACCACAGCCAAAAGCCATCAATTGACTTTACCACAAAAGAAACAAAGGCCTGTGGGTTTACTTTTAAACTTGATTTGAAAGTTTAGTGTCCTTTTGTGATAGGTGCCCAAGTGAGTAATGTTTATTGCTTGTTCTGTGGCCTTGGGATATTTGTATGTGCATGATAGGGTCTCCCATGTAGCCTAGTCTGAACTCTAATTTACGATCCTCCTGCCTTTACTTAGTAAGTGCTGGGGATTACAGACACGGGCCATCACGCTTTTATATGTGTGCATGTGTGTGAGCATAGAGCATGTACCTGCTCATGAAGACAGAATACAGTTAACAGCAGCTGGTTCTCTCCAGACACCATATTGGTTCTAGGAATTGAACTTAGATCCTCAGGCTTGGAGGCGCATGCTTTTACCCACTGAGCTATCTCGCCAGCCTTATTCTTGATCCTAATTTGTTGGATGTGAAACTGATATTAAACTGCCAAATAAGGTCTTTCAAGGTCAAGCTTCTAAGGGAAGTCTGTCTCTGACCCCAGGAGCCTGGCTTTGCTTTTGTGACCATTTGTGACCTAACCCTGGAAGAAAAGCTGAGAAACTGAGATTTGTTCAGTCTCCTCTGTGCGTGGCATTGTACAGGAGTCTAAGGCTGCGGAGATGGGCTGGAGTATTGCTTGCCCTCTTTCCTTCCTCTCTGCCCTTCCCCCTTTTCCTTCATTTCCTATTCCTTCCTCTTCCCCTTTCTTTTTCCCTTTCTGAAAGAAAACCCCAGGCTGTCCTCAGACTATGTAGCTGAGGGTGATCTTGAACCTCACCCTTCCAAGTGCCGGGATCACCCACATGCCCCTCTGTGTCCAGCTTATTCTGGGGCTCTGGTGCATGCTGGGCAAGCACTCTACCACCTCAGCTACAGCCCAGAACCCACACATCCTGACTTCCCTTTGGTCAGTGACCACTGAGGCTTATAAAATGAATATTATAAGGTGACATTATTCCTTCAGAAACGAATCCTTTCAGCAAGCCCCCCTTCTCCTCTATACACACCTCTCTGAATGAGCCTTTGCGTGGTCTCTGCTTAAACACCCTGACCCATCTCTCCCCCCTCCTGGTGGGTCCTTAGTGCTGAGTTTGAGGACAGCTTGGATACTGGACATTTGTGTTCACACTTGGCGTGGAAGTAATACCATATCTTGATAAGTTAGAGTCTAAAAGCAATCCTGGGTCTTGTCTTCAGATTTCTCCAAACACGGACAGTTCAGAAAGGCACTGGTTTTAGTTCTTCACAGCCCTCATTGATAGTGCCAGCTGGATACCCACAGGCTGTCCATCTCGGGGTCTTCTGCCCGTCATCAGTCTACTCATCTGATAGGAAACTCCAATTCGCATTCTGCAAAGCACACCATGGTGCTGAAATGAACCCTTTCTTGACTGCCCAAGCCATTACCTGGAGTTTGGGATAGCACTGTGCCTCTTGTTGGATGCAGCCTCCCCGCCCCCACGCTCTGCAGTATAGGGCTAGCGCACGTCTGTCTAGCAGGAAGGGCTTCCCTGAAAGCACTTCTATTGAAATAGACCCTTGTTGAAGGCAGCTGCAGAGTGGCAGGTGCCAGGGTGAGTTTCTGAGGGGTCAGTCACTCTCACACAGTCACTGCCTGGCTTCTGCTACTGTGGGTACTACTTTGTACATAATGGACTGTGAACACCACCTTTTCAATAAATACCTTCAAACTCTTGGGAAGATACAGTTTTGATAGATGACTGCAGATTTTTCCTGTATTTGTCAAATGAATAAAGAATGCATGAGCCCCACGGTGCCAGCTTTCTTCCAAGAAACATCGGGTTCTAGAAGCCTGAGTACGGCTAATAGATGCCAAGGCACTTTGAAACTTAATGTCCTCCAGTCATAAAAAGGCAGTAGCACTAACTAGTCAGGCCACACAGCCATCCCAGTTTTTCCTGGACAGCTGGGTCATAGCAGAGCCACACCTTTAAAACTGCAACATCCAGTCTGCTTAGTGTCATGGCTCTACGGCTCAGCATCCACAGATCAAACATTTAAAAAAAAAAAAAATGCATTTGTACTGAACATACTTCGTTCAAGAATACTTCGTTTTGTCATCTCCTAAGTGAAGTTAGCAGTCTATATTCTAAACAATCCAAAAGCTGCTCACGGCACAGGCCTGCACTCAGAAATTGAACCAAGAGGATTGCTACGAGTTCAAGGCCAGCCTGGGCTACATAATGAGACATTGTTTTAAAATAATCATCTCCAACCTGGAGAAGATCTAAAGTGTGTGCATTAGATCATGTGCAAGCCCAGTGTTTTCTATAAAGGGTGTGAGTTTCTGGGATTGCAGCTTGAGGAATCTGGAACCAGTTCTCCACATGTACTGAGTGATGGCTGCATTCTTTCTTAACACTCTAGTTCTTAATTTTCTTTAAGAAAATATTTATTGGACTGGAGAGATGGCTCAGAGGTTAAGAGCTCTGGCTGTTCTTCCAAAGTTCCTGAGTTCAATTCCCAACAATGACATGGTGGCTCATAACCATCTATAATGACATATTGGGCCCTCTTCTGCCCTGCAGGCAAACATACAGGCAGAACACAGTTTTTAAAAACTGTATTAATACAAATCCTTTCAGACTCAATTATAAGCTTACAGAAAATGTATTCTAGTACAATACAAATATTTCATATACTAAGGGATTATCTCGTTAAACTATTAGACCTCAGTAGTAGAGAGTGTATTGTGTTTTGTATGCCCAAGGCCCTGGGTTCTGTCCCTGTACCCAAAACCAAAAAAAAAAAAAAAAAAAAAAAAAACCAGCAAAACCACCAGGTGTGGCAGCGTATACTTCCCTTCCTAAGCTGTGAGTAAAACATGATAGATGCAGGCCTGGTAGGATGGTTCAGCGGGTGTCGTGCAAGCCAGGTGACCAGAGTCTGACCTTTGGAACCCATTTGGTAGGAGAGGACAGACCCCTCCAGTCACACCTGTAAATACATAAAGATACACTATTAGCTTAGGGGAAGGGAAAAGCCACCGCTTGCATTATCTTCAGAAGGAACAGCTAAGGTAGACATAGCCGGTGCACACTATAATCCCAACACTTAGAAGGCAGAGGCAGAAGGCTGGATTCAGTTTCCAGGCTGGCCAGGACCACATAACAAGACACCTGTCTCAAAGCTGATAGCCCCGGGCTGGCTCTGGTTGTGGGCTGCTGTGTGGTACTGTTCCAAGCTTTGCTCCTTGCATCGGATGACATCATGGGTTCTCCTGCCACTTGCTGAGCCAGAGCTGCTGGTATCAGGAGCCGGGCACAAGCCTGGGTGGAGGAGACCCTCTGTGGTGCTCTCCTTTGG